GGGCTCTCTCACAGGAGAGAGTCCTCCATGAATTTCTCCAATTGAGTTCTTCCCACGGGCTGCAGTTCTTCACAAACTGCTCCAGCATGGGTCCCTTCCACAAGGTGCAGTCCTTCAAGAGCAGACTGCTCCAGCACGGGTCCCCCATGGGGTCACAACTCCTGCCAGCAAACCTGCTTCAGCATGGGCTCCTATCTCCATGGGTCTACATGTCCAGCAGGAGCCTGCTCCTGCTTGGGCTCTCCACAGGGTCACAGCTTCCTTCAGGCATCTGCCTGCCCTGGCATAGGATCCTCCATGGGCTGCAGGTGGATATCTGCTCCACCATGGACTGCCATGGGCTGCAGGGGGACAGCCTACCTCACCATGGTCTTCTCCCCAGGCTGCAGGGGAATCTCTGCTCCAGCACCTGGAGCACCTCCTCCCCCTCCTCCTTCACTGACCTTGGTGTCTGCAGAGTAGTTCCTCTCATATTCTCACTCCTCTCTCTGGCTGCAGTTGCAGCTGGTGTTTTTTCCCCCCTGTCTTAAATACGTTATCACAGAGGTGCTACCACCATTTGCAGATCAGCTTGGCCTTGGCCAGCAGTGGGTCCATCTTGGAGCCGGCTGGCATTGGCTCTATCAGGCACAGGGGAAGCTTCTAGCAGCTTCTCACAGAAGCCACCCCTGTAGCCCCCCCGCTACCAAAACCTTGCCATGCAAACCCAATACATTAGCCAAGCACACAAACAGAGTATATGAAGTAGCCTGAAGGCTGAGCATTTGCAAGGTCGTGCAGACACCTGAATTACCCCTTCCCTTTGAGTACCATTGGTTTACCAGACCAGAGTATACAGAATTTCAGACTTACCTTAGTGTTTCATTGAACCTGACTGTAGCAGCACAATGAAATATAATATTAATGCATTCTATAAGTTTTTCCTTGATTGGTTCACTAAGGTCCAGTTCAGGCTGTGTAAGTTCACTCGTAATTACTATTATTTTTGCTCTGAAGTCTGGCTGCTCGTCTCTCAACCTGTCAAAGAGCTGTCAAAAAAACAGGACTAAATATTCAAACTAATAGCCGGGGAAGACAGGACACACGTCTCATTTAAGTGAAGAAAAACCCCACATTTCCTACCTATACAGAGTTACACCTCCTTACTGCAAGATCATCAGTTAGAAAAGCGATTAGAAATATTACAACATGTTACTGACTTCCCATGAACATATCCAGCAATGAAGTTGTGCACACTGTTATCCCATACAGTGAAAGCAGTATTGCATATGTTGTACAGAAGGCAGTAAGACTTCAATTTGTACTTACTTTTCTTTTTAAAATATTCATCCCTATCCTTAAGACCAGATCTTTCAATATCAGAGGAAAGAAGGAATGGTCTCTATTAGACACCAAGACTCAAAAAAATTTTAAGTAGCAGTCTAAATACTGTAATCTCTTTTCTTTCAGCAGAAGGAAAGGGAAAAAATTCTGCTCATTTCCCAAGTTTGATAATAACTATTCAAGTTCTTGTGGGCTTGCACAAGTCATGCTGGTTTTCAGGTTTAGAAAGCTTTCATCAAGCTTTAAAAATCTGTAGTGATTCAAGAAATGCTATTCTGGAATTATGCCAGCTTTGAGGAACTTCCAGGTTTAAAAAAAAATCTGGAACTTCCAGGTTAAAAAAAAATTCTCTAACTAGTTAAAAGAAAAAAGGCAGATTAAAGGCTGCGTACCGTGTTAGAACATCTGATCAAGTTCTTTCAAATTGGTATTCAACCATTCTCACTGAAAAAAATCTCACCCATACTATATTCCATCATATATTCTCCTCATAATTAACTGAGTTCTAACCATGATGCTTAATGCACACAGATAAAGATTCTTGCATCTTATTTGATCTCATTAGTATTCAAGTTTTCCTGAGCAAAATAGTACCGTGAGAATAAAACACACTTGAAAGTTTCACCAGAGCAGATCTCTCTTCTTAATTTTACAGGGGCCAGTATCTTAGCAACTTCTTCAACCCAAGTAAATTAAAACATGTTAAAACCACAGTAGTACTTTTTTTCCCATCCAAGCATGCAGGTCTACGTAATGCAATAGTTAAAAAGACATTTCCTTACAGAATTAAGAGAAGTCAATTCATTTTCAACTATAAATTAAGTCACCTAAAGGTGCAGTTTCATGACTCTTAATGCAATATAAGTTTGTATTGTTACCAGATTGGTCCCTCTCCTAACTTCTTCATTTCTATGTTGCTTCTCCTGCACTAGCAATACCAACTAGCCCGATGGCTGTGTGGGCATACGAGCTTGCTAGTCCAGCTGAAAAAATAGGGTTGTTTTTTTTTTTTTAAGTTTTTTTTTAGCTCAACTGTGAGGTAATGCAGCTAACTGTGTGGCCACCTAAAGTAGTGGTAATGCTGCAGTGAGAATATGGGACATCTCCAGTGACAGAGATCTTGAACTGACTTCCCAAACATGAAACTTCACCTTAAAGGATAAATCTGCCAAGACAGCATTTAAAGCCTCTGCAATTCTTAGTTCACACAGTACAGCAAAAGGTATTTAACTAAGGGCAGAAAGCCCTCTGTCATTTTGAAAATAAACCTGCCATGTTTTCCGTTGGAATGATGGTGCCTGCCTCCAGGGAACTGAAGCAACTATCTTTTAACCATATTAATATTTGGCACACATTATAATAGAAAAACAGTCCCATGGATAAGCACTTAAAGAACCGGTTTGGTACTTCCAGTTTGCACGTTACATCTCTTCTGCCCCTTTTCACATCCATAGCCATATATTACTCCTACATACCTCATACTAGCACTGACACCAGCACAAAGAGGAACAAAAAAAACCACCTAGAGGACATGCAATACATATGGCAAATTAACAGATTAATTAGCTATCTGAAGTCCAAAGGAAGTAGAAACCTCAACATTTGCAGTTCAATTTATTTTAATTACCACATTCACCCATTTAGATTTTAAATACTTCAAGAAATGGAATGTCCAAGCATCTGCAGAACATTTAATGAGCCCATCCAAGCTGTGAAAAATCACTGTCAGGGCCCTTACAACTAGGCAACTTCAGACAACATATTCTATTAAAAGTTTTCATAGTCTTTTGGAGGAATCCTGATTACATTAATGCCAGTTAAACAATACACTTTCAATCTAATTTGTCTCACCACATGATTAAGACAGAACAAACATCTGGCCCTATCTATGTGTCTGCACAGAAGTGCAACACCATCCCTTTATGTTCTCACTCTAGGGACTAAGTCCTGCTTATTAGGACTTATCACCTGTTGTGAACCTGTTCCAGCAGTAAGTACTCACCAAGACTCATAAAACATCAGATTATGCCAACTCCTGCTAAGATAACAGACTATAAGCAGAAGATTTAGACTCAAATTTAAAAGTCTTTTACAACACATGAGTTTCCCAGAAGCTATACTGAGGCTTAAGTCTTACTGAAATTTAAGTCAGCCCATGCTACTGCTACTCTCCCCCCTGCATGAATACTCCCCATTTTTTATTTGGGCAATCACATATACAAAAAAGAGATTGAGAAACTTTCCTTTCTCATCTCAGAGCTTAGTCTGGAGATCTCTTCCATGTTTCAGGGAGTGACAAACTCTGGGTTTTATGCAGAGAGAATTTGCAACTTGATTTTAAGACAGAATCCCACTGTAACTCATTCTGCTGCATTCTATGACATTGCACAGGACTGCAAGCAGATGCTTTTGAGCAGTGAGCTACAGTTTTGACATGGTTACAGAAAACAGTTTTCTAGGGACAGTCATCCTCATGTCTGCTTTAATCTTAACTAGAGATGCAGAAATTCATTGCCTTACTTTAAACAACTTATCCCTCCTAGTCTAAATGCATTCATACTTGCTTACTGATTCCTTTTAAGCACACACTTTGTAAAGACTACATTGCGCCTCAACATATTTCCTAAGCCTGAAAAATTAAACTGTCAACTCCCTTGTCCTGTAAGAGAAAGGTCTGGTTAGAAATAAACTCTGCTTTAGCAAAGTTCATGCTAGAAATCTCTCCCCTTCCTGTTCATCCTTCTCATCATAAATGGGATGCTCTGTATATAATGACGGACAACACTGATGGATAGTTCTGCGTGTAGTAAGAATGCCCAGCCCAGCTCACCAGAATATTAAAGTAATGAGTCCTTTCAGGAGCAAAGTACCCCATCCAGCAGGCACACAAAATCTTTTCTACGGTCACTTTGATACTTCCACAGCACAGAATTTCAGTGCCTTTCCTGTGTTGTCACAGGTTTATAGTAATCTGTGTAACTAACAAAAAGCCATAATAGACTCTTAAGACAAACATTTCTGTTCACAAGCATAAGCTATTTAAACAACCTGTTAGATTACATATTCTCACTTACTAGTAGAGCAAATAGGGCATTCGAGAAAAAGCAAGTACTAAGCCTTATGTTACAGAAAAGGAAATAAGGCACAAGGAGAAAAAGACTGACTTGCTCAAGATCTAAAGGGACTCAATTCCATCTTACAACTCCCAGTCCGCACTGCCTCTTGCACTTGATTATACATTCTCATGACAAGTTTTAACTCAGCTGTTGTACTTCTCAATTCTGCATTACAGTTGAACATTCTCCTCCTGAACTAAATACAGTATAATTTTCTAATACTGGTTTTGCTAAACACTAAAAGCTGAAAACTAGCCATAGAAGCACAACCAGGTCTTGGATTTTATATTTGTTAGAATGAAAAACATTTAACAACAATGTTTTGCTTTAGACAAACCAAAGTTGTTCTCAAAAGAGAACACTACAAAGGACAGAAACGTACTTTCTAAGCGTATGACACGTACCTTACAGCTGGTAATTTCTTCTATTCGTGCTTCAGGTGTCTGCCCTGCTTTGTGTCTTACCAATACATACACTGCTTTCACTTTAGGACAAGATCTGAGCAGCTTTTCCAGAAGCACTTTTCCCATGAAGCCTGTAGCTCCTGTCAGGAGGACGTTCTTTCCTTCATAGTATTCAGGGATGGAAACCATTATGACCTTAACAAAAGTTAAAGACAAAAGTATATTAAAGAACTTCTAGGAGTTCAGATTTGCAGAAGATCTAAATAAAAGGCACAGATGCAAACATTCAACCTCATACCTGAAAGAAGTGGCTAAAAGCCTTTTTTTTTTTTTAACCTATAACCAGTACTTAAAGATGTCTTTTTTCACCACATTCCAAAATAGTGCCACGGTATCACTATGGTCATCCCAGATCTTCTTGTAAGCTGCTCCTGTTAACAGTGTCTTAAAGAATTAAACACCCAATCAGTTCAGTAAAATAGCTCAACTTTAGTCTATTTTTATCCCTATGTGCACGGTCCTTCATACTCTAAGTGGCTGTTCCATGTAAATTAAAAGGTCATAACATTAAAATATAATCACAAGTAGGTACTTCAAATATATTGACAGAAGACAGGGACCCAGTCATGTGGTGTTTGCTGGCCCTGCTATTTCACCTGTGTCAGCCAAGTCCCCTGTCAACGTTAGGCTGAGCCTTCCTACAAACATTGCTAGGCCAAAGAGAAGGTATAGTTAGTTTCTTGGTATGAGACTTGCTGGTTTTACATTGACTACAAAAAACCTCAGAGTTTCCACGTGTTTCCAACCTTTTAATCAAGTTCTGCCCCCCCCCCCCAAATAAATGATTAGAATTCCCACACAAACTAAAAGATTTGAGTTAGCCACAAATATGCCTCCTAATGAAATGAAGGGCAAGGGATTGTTACTGAAATCCAGCACAAAGCTCAAAAAAGTGTTGTAGGTTTTGCTTAAGCTAGGAAGTTAACTGAGAATTATTATTTCTTCCCTCTCTATTAATCAACCATTTGGAGATTATGTCTAATTTTAGATACTAGAAACTGAAAGACTTTCTAAGGACAAATATACCTTTTTTTTTTTTACATTAGTGTGGTCCATGGACCATGACCTTTGTGACCTTTAGAACTCAACCTGTACCTCAGGCTAACTTCAAGCCATTCTGTTCAGTTCAATACACCAACATCTTTACTGTAACCCTTCAACAGCTTTTACTGTAGATGACTGTAGCATATGAATACACTACCACTATGTTGTACCAATCTTTCTAATTAGACATATAAAAATAACAAGCTAATGCAGTGAAAGTCTAATAGTAGTCTCCTATAGCAGATCCACATACAAATGATTACAACCAAAACACTACCAAAAGAGACAGATTCCGTAAAACCATGGTACTAAAAAACCCAACACAAATGGCTCTCCTTAAACACAGACGGAGAATGTTTGTTATGCAAGTAAGAATTACAACATTGAATACCTAAACAGGATGAGAGCCTTTCTTCACCTATCACCCAAGAATAAGGGAATGCAACTTCTAAATATATTTACTTCTAGCAGGTTACTGCAAGCAGGTACTTATCAGGAAATACCCATGAGATGTTGTATGTTAGGAGTGAACAACAACAGGCTTAATTTGCACTTTTTGCCTGAAAAGTAAGTATTTTTGGAACACTTGTCCTCATCTCAAGTACCTGTCACATTAAAGGTATTGTGCTGTGCTTTTCACATATCATGACAAAGCCTCTGAACAAGCTCTGAATGATTACTTACCAGAAATGAGTTATCAGCTGCACAAGCCCCAGTTTCAGCAGTCTGGGTACAAAGTCTTATGTTTTGTTGTCCAACACTCCAAAACTTACTTTGACTCCCTTCTTTGACAACATTAGCTCCTGCATTTATTAGCAAAGCATCAAAAACCGTAATGGTGGGATACTGTAGCAAGTTTAGAACAGAACAAGCACTACTATTTCCATTGGCCACAGTACATCATCCAAAATTGTTTCTTTGAAGGTTGTTGAAACTGAATGAGGTGGACAGAAGGAAAAAGTTATTAAACCACTTTTGCCACGTACTTAAGAGATTTTAATGCAAATTTCAAAGCACACCTCCTGCAATAAAGCATGGGGAACAAGATACAGCATGCTTATGAGTCATTTTTTCCTGTTCAATGTAAGATACAAGCCTGTTTTCACCACAGCTCTTGGAAGTCACAATTAATGCTCTCTACTATTCAAGTATGTCCTTCCCATAGCTTTTGTTTTCCTGGTCTTTGCATATACCATTCAACTCCATTTCCTCCTAAAAATCTGCATTCTTGCTCCCACATACAGGATAAGACTTCTATTCCCTCAAAGAGAGAGGAAAAAAAACTCATGCAACCATTACTGCACCAATGTCACCAAGCTTCAGTTTTGTTATGGTTCCTACATAGTCTTGTTACTAATCTACCTACCTAGCCATAATTCACATCTTTTTACTCTACTTTACTGTACTCTACGACAGTACTTTAATATCATTATTTCACTTGCCCTTCCTCAAAGGAAGGCTTACTACTACTTCTGACATAATGCCATATGCTCCCTCAGTCTGCAAACCTCTTCACATGGGCACAGTCTTTAGCTATGTAAACACAGGAACACCCCGTACATGGGCTACAGTTCAACACCTGTTTCTAAACGCTAAAACAATGAAAAAGAAGTCATGCTGCCAGTGGAAATATCTGTATTGGTACAGTCCAGCTTTTTAGCTAACTGAAAAAAACTGACAATATTTAGGGTCATATGATGCAAAGAAAACTAGAAGCCAGAACAGATCAAAGTTTCCTGCCTCAGTTATTTCTGACTATATTCCTTTGAGTATGAGGTTGGTATCAGATCAAAAACAATTGTATTATTCTCCTGAAAGTCTTACAGAATACCAGATCTACAAAACACCAAGATCCAAGGCTACGATTAAGTATAATGATAAAGCGGGTTCACTTAAACCCACAAACATACATACATACTCACATTCACACTTGAGAGGCAGCAACATCTCTATGTTTGCAGTCTGATTTTTTAATATTATTATGTAAGGATCAAGAGAATTGTTTCCTTCGAGAAACTCTCAACACCCTCTCTCTCTACCCTGCTCTCTGACAACCAGCCTTTGGTAGACTTTATTTATAGCAATTTTTCACATTAAATTTGTCTTCTACTTCCATTTCTTTAAAAGATTCCAGCTAGAAAACAGAACTAGTGACCTTTTCAGAAGTACGCATTGATGCCGGAGTTACAGCAATAAATACAGGGATTGTGAGGGACCTGCCTAGAAGCACCAAATTTGAATTAAGTGTAAAAAACCATGTATGGAATCTAGGTGTGAATGAAGAAAGTCTGAAATCAGTAGCCTATGTTTTAACCTTTCTTTCTAGTAGGGCATCTCAGCCACAGGAATGGGAAAGAATGTTCCCGTTCTCCACCTACCTTTCTCTGCCTTCTCTGAGAATGCATCTCTACATGCCAGTTAGCAAAACACTGTTGGCAGCTCCTAACTTCAGGCTCAGAAGGGACTTATCTCACAGGTAGAATATGTTACCTTTTAAAGTTCTTCATGACAGCAAATTACTGAAGAACTACATAATAATTTTGTTTTAAAAAACCCCAAACATTTCAGAAATAGATGTCGTTACCAGTGGAAATTTCGTTTGACCTCTAACACATAACAAGATGGAGTAGGTCCCGAAAAAGATACCTACCTTGCAAGACAATATAGCAAAATCAAATTTAGCATTTTAAGGTTAATATTTAAGTGTCAGCAATTGTTTTATCTAGTTTTAAAGTACAACTTGTTGCATGTTTGCAATAGCTGAATTGTAGCTATTAACTAGTAATACATATTTTCACCAGTTATCCAATGACTTGTTAACAGCTACCTCTTCAAACGCACAAACTGCCTAATGCACACGTGTGTGTGAAAAACACGTGAATCTGGAATATCTGAATTCCTGTATCATAGCTACTTTTTTTGAGCTAATAAATAATAACAGTCAAGAAAAGAAATCTGACAGTTGTAAAGGATTCTTGCCCTAGAAGAGGGATGATCAAAATTACCAGATGACTTGTAGGAATAAACAGCCTTTGGTAGAGGAAGCTTCTGTTGAGCTGCTACAGAAAAACTGATGCTAGGATACTCTGAATGCACAGGTACAAGGCTAAACCAACAGTGATGCTCTGAAGATACTGCTTATTTGAAGGGTGCTATCCTTTGATAAATTAAGGGCTCCTAAGCACTTTAGTAAAACAAACAAACAAAAAACCCCACCACCAAAACCAAAAAACAACCCACCACCAAAACCAAAAAACAACCCACACTCCAGGATCCTAGCCAACATTCCCCATCTTGTAAAAAAATTCTAGTGTTCAGTGCTGAGCAAGTGCTGTTATGGAGCACACAACAGTAGCTCTGTTTGCCTTCAAAGCCACGGCAGCAATATTTAACTCATTGCTTCAAACGGAGGTCTCTGACTCTCAAAACAAGGACAATTCTGTTTTTAACAGGAAAAAGATCAATTCTCAGATTTGTCCAAACACAGATCAAGATGCTTGAAGGTTTGCTTTCCAAGTGCCAGGAAAGCCTGCTGAAGTTCCACTGAATGTTTAAATGCTAAATCCAATAACTAGAAAGCATATATATGTATGTCCTTGTTAAGAGATTAAATGGTCTCGTTTTTAGTCTATCACTGATGAACATTAGGTCAACAACATGCTCCCTCCAAATTCAATCATATTGAGATTATCACTCACAGGAAATAGAAAAAATACACATTTCCCAACCTCTCAAGTGTTAGCAACAAGCCACAAAGTTCTGCAAAACAGCCTCAAAAACTAATTTTGGCCTTTCCCTCCGACAGCTTGAACTTGGTACTAGCAGCAGTACAACAGAAAAAGGTCTAAAAGTAAGGTGGAAGAAACATTTTATTTATGTTTATTCGGGAGATTAAGTCCATCTAGATAAAGCTGAATAAACCAAGTTTGTTGGAGGGTTTTTTTTTTTTTGGGGGGGGGGGGGGGGTTTTGTTTTGGGTTTTTTTTTTTTTTTTTTAAACACTACACACACATGCATCCATACCAGACAAAAATCATTACAGAAGCCCCTCATATAGCACTTCAATTGCCACATTGCAAGGACACTA